TGTCAGATAGCCTCTTGATGGTGTAGCCAGGATTAGAACCCCCATTTAGTTAGCTGTAACTCTGAAGTATATCACCCTGTCCAACTGTCTCAACTCTTCTATTTTGCTTACTATTTTATTTTCAAAGGTTAACAACTACAATTTGGGGGTACCTGGTCAGCAACCTCTCATAAACTGGAACTCTCTGGAAGTGGAGAATGCAATTCAAAGAGCTGATTAAATTAGTAGTCTAAAATAAAATAATCTTTCAGAGACTAGTGGGACAAGATAGACACAAAATAAGAGTAATGTGCTAGTTAGGAATATGAGGCAGCTGGGTGGCTTAGTTGGCTGAGAATCTCTCGGCTCAGGTTGTGACCCAGAGGTCCTGGGATCAAGCCCTGCATCAGGCTCCCTGCTCAGTGGGGAGTCTGGTTCTAACTTCTGCCATGTCCCTCCACCCCACTTGTGCTCTCTAATAAATAAATAAATCTTTAAAAAAAAAAAAAAAGGAATAAATTGGAGGACAATAAAAAACCTCAAGTTAAAATAATTCATTATTATAGATTGTTTAGCTTCAAAATTAAGATAAAGGGAGAGGGACCCTGAGAAAATACTCACTAGCCTTGAATTTTGCCAAATTCAAGTTCAGGGGTCCTAACAGATCATTATCTACTGGTAGTTCTTGCCTTACCTGGTAGGTCTCCAAATTGGCTGACCTGTCCATGGGTTTGCCAGAACTTCCAGTAAAGAAAGAGAAAAGCAGTATAGTAACAACCCATAGGCCTCATCAGCAGAACTTTAACACTGGCATTGTCACCACCTCATTCCTACCCCTCAAATAATTTGTAAGCTTTGAGAAAAAAGGATCTCCTCTACCCCACCCCAAACATTAAAAAACAAAACAAAACAAAACCCTGGGTGACATCTTCCTTTCATGGATGTAAATATTTTGAAGCTTTAGCCACAAGGAGGGAGAGCAGTGCCCCACAGTACTTAATCCCTAAAAAAGGAAAAATCATGTCCCTTGTCCAGAACTCTTCCATCAAAAAAGGTTACAGAAGTTCCTTATTCTTGTATTCTGTAAGTTCCTTATTCTGAAGAACCTGAAGGTAAAATATCATGAGACAGAATAAGCCCACAGAAAGTATGATTAGCATGCAAGACTAGAATGCTAAGGAGTATTCTGGATGCTGCATATTATAAATACGTAGCTCCATCAGGAATATTTCATGTAATCCTATATGTATTCAATTACTTCAGTAAGTTTAGTTAAAACAGAACCCTGTAATTCCAGGGTCATAGGTGAGATTTTTATCCCACAAATATGAAATTAAAAAGATGTGATTACTATTTTACTCTTTATGATTATTTCAGACTAGAAATTAATAGCAATATTCATTAATATATTGTATTCATTAAATTTCTTTAACTATAAATGATTACATAAAATTTCAGAACTTCAAAAGAATCTTATGAATTTTCCAGCCAGAAAAAAACTACACCTATTTTCAAAAACTTCCATATTAAGATTTTCAGTTGTCAAATTTCATCTTTTATTAAAACATAATAAATGAGAAACTGATAACAAGGATTGATTCCAGGTAGGAGAATTTGGTATGGGAGGCAGGTGTAGGCAAAAAACTCTGCAATTTTAAATTACGCGCATTCATTACCTATTCAAACCAATCAATTTTAACTATGAGCTAAAAGTGCTCAGAATACACAGCACTTCTGAAGGCTTGTAAGCTTTCCTCATACTTCCCCTAGAAAAAGACTACCAATGAGAAATCAAAATAAATTCATCAGAACAAGTTGCAAAAGCTAAATCCTTTTAGAAGAAAATAAATATAAAAAAACTAACCCCACACTACTTCCAGATTCACCAAGTCTGAAATGTATTACCAAAGAGTACCTATGTGCAAAACAAATTATTTTCTACCAAAGTGGTATGTGAAATCCTAAACTCTGGAACTTAACTAAAAGACCAAAATATATTCCATATTAAGACAGTGGGCCATTTCAGATAATGTGAGTGAAGACGGCATTACATTCAACACCCAAATCAATTATTTCCCAATATGGGTTATAAGTAGTTCTCCCCCATGGAAGGCTTTGGAAAGTCCTCATAAGAATTCACTCTATTAGACTGTTTCTACTTCAAACATTGGCCATTAGATATACAAGAAAGTGTGTGTGTGTGTAAGGACATTATCAGGGAAGTTTTTAGACCAATTAACTCGTGGGTGAATAAGCAACTAAAAACCAGCCCTGACAAAATTTTTGCTTGGGGGAAAAAAAACAAAAACAAAACTATCTTGTAACTACTCTATTACCATTAAAAAGCCAAAAATCTATTCTTTATGTTAAATATATAGACTGAGTTAACTTGTCTTAAAAACAGTGAGTGACTTCAATTCCCAAAGAGGAAAGCTTTCTGATCCACCATTATGTAACTCTATCCAAACTCTAATATAAAAGTTACGTATCTATTAAGGGTTAGTTAAAAAAAAAAAAAAAAAAGTAAAACACACACGCACGTGTTAGCTATAGTTCCTTAATTACCTTGTCAAAATTATGAAACCCAGCATATTCTTAAACAACAGAACCTCTCCTATCCAAACCAAAAATAGAGACACTCCACATGCTCCATAAAACTTTTTAAAATAAAGAGTATTCCTTTGGCTAAATTCTGATCGTTATGTGAACTATACATTTTAAAAAAATAATCAAACCGCCAATTTTTGAAGAATTACATATTTCAATAAATCTGGCAAAAACTTTATTAGTCTTTTAATTTACCTTAATGTTTTATTCATTTTAAAGCCATTTATTTGCCCTCTAAAAGACCCACAGCATTTTCCCTGAAGGCTAATCAGCAAGCTCTTGTCCTCTCTGTGCCAACAGAGAATCTCCTGAACAGTTTCTACTAGCTGCAGCAAAGCAACAATTCCACAGTGCATCTGATTTACTATTTCATTAGCTACATACTGAAATCCTGATTTCATGAACATCTTTGTCAGTCAGCTTACATACATGAATGAAAAGAAAACTGACACTCTGGCATGCCAATACCAACAACCAAGCCACTTTACTTCAAAAGGAAACAGACTTTAGCAGCTAACAATTCACACAAATGAAGAAAAGTATCCAAGATAAAAGCACCTCAACGAAGTTTGAAATTACACACATCGTGAAAAGTAGATTCAGAATAAATAATTTAAAATATGTAATGAGACTAAATTAAGTTTGGTCAAACAGATTTGATTCAGCCCTAATGGTATGAACAAATCACTACATCTTGAAAACACTTACTTCTAGAAATTAAATCCTTACTATGCTAGGATTTCAATCTAGTGTCACTGGTTTTCTCAAAAAATTTTGTGAGACAACATATAGTGGAAGGAGACTTGAGTATTATTTGAATGGAACACAGGAAAACCCTGATATGCAAATGTGAAAGGACATGATGAAACTATAAATATTTTTAATTTTCAAAAAAACGGTAAATGTATCAAAGAATCATTAAAACATATCTGCCAATAATGTTACACAAGACCTCTAACTGGCTTGAAACATCACATTCTTTCAAGCAACATATAACAAACTGCTTTCTCAAAGACTATCTGTAACAGTGACTAGTGAAAACCCTTTGAACTATTTCTCAGATAATCATCTCTCTTCCATTTAAGTATTTTCCTAAAGTACAACACTGAAACAGTTTTAAACAAAGAATGTGTAATTTTTAAAAAGGCATTTCATCTCAATTCCCTGAATCAAAGGAGGTATGACAACCAATGCATGTAAAATTAACCTTAATCCGCCAACGAAAACACGCAAAATGTCTCCTAACAATTCCCCTCCTCCTTAAAACAACCGTACACATAAATATGGTACTGACCTCCACCCCACCGAGAGCAGCTAATTAATTGAGAATAGTTACGTTTGGAGACCAAGGTGCAACACCCTACCCCCATAAACCTCCCAAAATAACCACATCATCAAAGTAGAACTGAACATTATTTTTGCTAAACCAAGAATCCAACCCCCGGGAGCCTCAGCCCTTAGACAATGGTGGTTACCAGACAGAGCTGCACAGTTGGGTCCAAATGACACATTTCACTAGGCCTTGGACACAGCACACACTCACACTCTCCCAAGGGGCCAGTTCGAAGGAAGGGGCGTTCAAACCCCACTAGGAGACGGAGGGTAGTACAGTGGCGTAGGGGTTCGCTAAGGGAGGACAGGCGAGAGGGGTGGTCGATAGAGCGGCAGGGTAACTGCACTGCACGCGAGGGAGGGGGCTGGAAATGGCCGATGGATTCTATATTTATTTATTTAAAGGTCTTGATTTAACGGGTCCTTCCCAGGGGTTCTGTAACTAAAGCCAAACTGCGCAGCAAACATTGTGGGGTTGGGAGAGTAGTCGCTGCTGCCCCTACCCCGTGACTAGGAAGGGGGGTGGGGGAAACAAGTTCCCCGGCCAACACCACAGACCACTCGGATTCTCCCCCTCCCCCTCCTCCACAGGAAGGGGGAGGCTAACAGAGAAAAGGGGGAAAACAAGTTCCCCAGCCAGCCCCACCGCCCGATCACTCCCAGTTGTTCCCCCCCCGCGCCTTCTGTTAGGAAGAGGGAGGCTAAACGTGGAAGGCAGTAGAAAAGGGAGAAATCCCACCCTTTGCCGCCCCCCACCCTAGCCACCAACAGACTCCTGCGGGGTCCGTGAACCAGGCGAGAAGCCAAAGGATGGGTGGGGGTAGAGGGTGCCGAGCCCCCGCAACCAAACAAAGCGCGGCCTGAGCTAGAGCCCGGGCGAGTGGGGAAGCCGCGGCTTTTCCTGCCCGCCCGAGGCCGGGCCGGGCTGACACTGCGGCAGCCGGGGACCCGCCTCCGCTCAGCCTCCGTCTCCCAGCCCGGGGGCGCACAGGCCTCCCCCGCCCGCCCTGGCCTCCCTCCCCGCGGGTCCCGGCCGGCCGGCGCCCGAGCCGGCGGGCGGCGGGGAGGGAGCGCGGCCTTACCCCGCTCGCCGGCGTTGTTCCGCTCCTGGGGCAGCGGCGGAGGCGGCGGTGGCGGCGGCGGAGGCTGCTGCTGCTGCGGCGGCGGCGGAGGCTGCTGCTGCGGCTGCTGCTGGGGCGGCTGCGGCGGCGGCTGCTGCGGGGGCTGCTGCTGCTGTTGCTGCACCGGGCGCGGCCGCGACACTCGCCTGGGTCTCCGGTTGGCGGCTCGGACGGAGTTCATTTGCCGGGCTGAGGTGGCGGCGTTGGCGGAGGGACACACACACACACACACACGCACAGCGAGCTCCGGGGCAGGAGTAGGGGTTGGGGAGGGGGAGGAAGGAAAGGGGGCGAGGGGAAGGGGAGATGGGAAGGGCGGAGGGGGTGAGCTAGACCCCGAGTCAAGAGAAAGGCCCGCGGAGACGGACAGAGACCGAGCGAGGCCGGGCGGGCGGGCCTGACGCACGGGGAAGGCCGAGGCCGCCGGGCGGGGCGGCCGCGAGGGACGGAGACAGAAAGACGGGCAGAACGAGAGAAAGAAAGAAAGGGCGTCCGCCCGCCTGGGGATCCCGGGGCGAAGCGCGGCGTCGGCGGGTGAGGAGACAGACTCCGGTCCCGCCGACTCCCGAGCGGCGTCTCCGGCGGCGGGGGGAGTGGGCGGGCGGGCGAGGAAGGGAGAAGGAGGAGAAGAGAGGGAGAGAAGGGAGGGAGGGAGCAGGGGGCGCCCGGCTCTTTTTTTTTTTTTTTCCCTCTTCCTACCCCCACACCCCCTGAAAGAGATTTCTGTGAGGAATTTTTTCTCTCTTTCTTCGGCCTCTTCTCTCTCCTCCCCCCCCTTCTCTCCTAGGCGAAGGGGAAATGAGTGTGAAGGGAGGAGATAGAGGGAAAAAGAGGCGTCGTCGTTCCTCCTCCTTAAAGAAACCTTTCCTCCTCCTCCTTCCTCCTCAACCCCGTCGCCGCTGCTTCTGCTGCTGCTCCGTGGCAGGAGGAGCCATTGACATCGCCGGAGCCTCCACTCGCCCAGTGGGTCCCTCCCCGCCGCGGGGCTGGCCAGGGGCGCGGGGGAGGGCCGCGGGGCGGCGGGGGGAGGGGTGAATGGGCGGGGAAGCAGAGGGGCGGGGATTCTAGCCAAGCAGCCAATGGAGAGCTCCCGTACAACCTTCAGGCCAATGGGGCTTCCGCTCTTATGGCGAAGACCCTTCCTTCAACGCCCTGTTTCCTCTCTCGGGTTTCCTCCCTCCCTCGCCAAGGAGGGGGAAGGAGGGAAGGGGGAGTGTGGTGGGGCGGGTGATAATGGGGAGGTATCAGGGCATATAATAGAGCGGGGGGTGGGCGAAGAGAGCGCTAGTGCGTAGCGACGATTCTAGGAGAGGAGGTTCTCGGAGGAAAGGGCGGGGGCTGCTGATGTAATGGGGAGAAGTGATTAATCCTTTGGTTCGCCTTTTCAGTCCTACCCCCACCACCACCACCTTCACCCGATTTTTAACCAGAGAAAAAAGTGGAGCCAGGGAACCGATCCTTGGTAACTCGCGTTTTCTGTGGTAGGTAGGTTCAAAATGTGAGCTGTAGGGAGCGCTAGAGATTCTGTGCCCTTTAGCCCAGCTGAGGGTATTTGCAAACCTTGGAGATCCAATTCACTGAGCTTTCAGCTTGTAACCGAAGTTTGGAGTACTTTCCTAATCGCAGCCTAAGAGGAGTCACCTAAGTCTTGAAAACATTTTTAATAGACCTTTGGTCAATTTCTCTTTTGGAAACGTGGTCTAGATAATGTTCAGGAAAATAATATGTGGGAAAAGGAAGTAAATGTGCTGAGATTATGATTGCTTATGTGATTAAAAAAAAAATTTTTTTTTAGGTCCCGCAAACTCAAAGGGAACGGAAAAACCCCAAGAGGAATTATCTTTTGTATCTGGTCCCCTCAGCATAATCTGTCCCCAAGGAAAACGCGTTTTTATTCCCTAGCTTTTGTTGTGAAGACGGAAAAAGTACCCTTTCTCAATTCGCTCGGCTCTCCCTTTTGTTTACCGTTTTATGTATATGGTAAAATTGGCAATTTACCTGGTTCTCTGGTTTTCAGAACTTTGGATGATTTCTCTCTTATTTGGGTTCGACCTGTTGCTCTCTGGTTTGACATAAATAATTAAGCGGTTTACAAAGTATGATGAAGTAAAGCTGAGAGGCAGAGAAGTGTGTACTCGGGGAAGGAGGGGAGTGAGGGGCCAGGAGGAGCCTTTATTGTGCAGGGTGTTTGAATCCCTGATTTGATTATGTGACTCAACGCAGGCTACCTTTCTAGATAATGAGGGCTCCTCACCTTTTAATAAGAACTTATTTTGGATGACAATCCTGTTTTCGATTTTTAAAGATCTGTGGTTTTGAGATGATCTCTCTTTGGTCCTGAAAATGTTGAAACTGAGATCTAAGTTTCCTTCAAAAAATATCTGAGAAAGAGGTTAGAAAACAACTGAAGAACTCCATATTTTTTATGGTTGTTAGCTAGATGCCAATGGGTAAAATTTTAGATTTGGTTAGATACAGGGTGGGAAGGAAAATTACTTGCTATTATACCTATAGATGGGTCCATAATTCTGATTTTTCTACAAATTTACTTTTTTATTCAACAAACACTTATTGGTTCCTTCTGTTCCATCTGCATGACTATGTAAGGTGCTACGGGAGATACCAAAAATAAATATAAAAGGCAAAAATCTTGGGCATAAAGCATTTGTAATTTGGCATGGCAGAGGTGAAGATTTACTTATATTAATTCAGATGTACAAAGAAGATGTAACTTGTTTATTTTCTGTAATGTTTAACCTCAAGTCCCCACATTATCTCTCTCTTTTTTAAACATCGATATTGAATCTTTGAGATTTACCCACCTCCCTCTCATTTCAAGATACATATGGAGGTTGAGGGTTGCTGTTTAAGGTGAATAGATTTCATGTCTTTGGCATCCTAGATTTTTAAGTTTATTATGACAGTTCTGTGGCATGTAGCAATAAGATGCCTTGTTCTAACAAAACCAGTATATTATGACAATTTTTTGATAGGTGGAAGTAAAGTGTCTTGAGAAAGGAGTGTCTTTTTCTAATTTACGCAGTGACTAGTTGGTTGGTAGCAGCCCTGAGGGATGGGAAGGCTTACATGGCATCAGGGAAGCCACACTTGCCATTCCTTGTGTTACCCACAGAATGTATGGAGTGTTTGCTATGGTCTGAAAGGAGAACTGATAGCCTCAGAAGTGAAATTGGCCATTTCTGGTTTTTGTTTTTGGTGGTTTTTTGGTTTGTTTTTGTTTTTGTTTTTTTTTGAGATATCATACAAGTTCCTTTACTGAGGTACTTACACGAGCCATTTGCTGTATGTACACAGCCACACAGTATTGACTGACCCTGGGTCTCTGCAGGCCCACTGATTCTCACAGTGCCACTCTATCTTCTCACGAAGATATATGGGAACTTCCGGATTCCCTAAATACCACATGTAGGCCTTGATGAGCCAGGAGCCTTGCTTTGGGCTTATCTATGCAGCCATCTCCCTCCACCAATATTGCATGATTCACCCTATGTCATATTGAACAAGCCATCAAACTGAAAGCTGAGTTTCTAGAGGACTCAGACTCTCACAGGCATGCTCAGAGAGCCAAACCACTATCCCTGGTTTCCTTGCATTTCCCCAAATCTATGTGAACTATACACCTCCAATTGTAGTTTCCACACTAAGAAGGGGTGGAAGGTAAGCACTCTGGGTCTGATTACCAATTCCGTGTACCCCTTTCTTCCTTCCATCATCCCTCAGGGCTACAAGAGATGAATTTTTCTCCTTCTTGTATGTCAGGGGCTTTCCTTATGTACCATATCCTGTTCATTCTTGTAATGGCATCTGCTCTGCTTACCCTTCCTTGGAGCCATGATGGCTGATAGACTGCAAGAGAGAAACTGGTTTTACAATAATGGAATACCTTTTGGGAGATAACAAAACATATATCCTATCCCCATATCTTGTCATTCCTACATATTTTTAGTCTATCTTACGGAATTAAATGTTCAAATCTTTGTTCAAAGTGTTCAAAGCCATCTTAAAATTGTGGAACTTGGGAGTTGTTAGAATGGGCATTGGAGATCATTTAATTCTCATTCCTGTATTGGACAGATTGGGAAACTAAAGTCCAAAGAGGTAAGGTGACAAAACCAAATCCCATAACTACTTAGTGGCAAAGTTACCATCTGCCAGTTCAGTACCCATTCCATTCTCAGGTGTTTATAGGCTCAATTCTTCCATGAAAACCCCAAGTATTCCAGATAGTGTTATCCATTGCCTGGTCCACCTGTGTTAGTAAGTAATCCTGTCAATTAGCTATTATAGAAATTATGTGTGACAGAAAACAGGAGAAAAACGTAAAGGGGTTTTTATTTGGGATGGGTGTCTCCCAAAATGAGTGCAGTAGACACTTAGCATAATTTCAGAGGACTAAATTCCCTCAGGGTTTGCTCTCTCTTCAATAACATTTGTGTTTGTTTTTCTCAACTAATTACTGGTGCTTAACAGGTTAGTGTACTTTAAATTATTTGTTTATAAAACCTATCACAATAGAAGTATGGGGGGAAAAATGCCCTTTAATCATTTTAATACCGAGCAGGTGATATTTACTGTGATTTTTTTTTTTAATGGCAATTTTTACCATGTCAAAGATTCAGCCTCCCTTTCCTCTGTCATTCCATCATCTAGTCCCAAGCCATCAGCACTCAGTGAGTTACATAAGACACCTCAGAGCTCTCACTCCTTTTATGTCATTTAGGAAATTAGTTTGATCTGAATATGGTTTTCCTGAAGGAATAACCAGCTGTTTAAAATATCCTTGTTAGATTATGAATGACTTATCTCACTAAGCTGCAGAAATTCATTCTTTAGTACATGCTCAGATATTATTTTATCAGTTAAGCGGTGAAAATTAACTTGGAACTAAGGATTTAAATTTAATGTATATGGGGGAAAACCTGGTAAGCAGGCAGTCCAATGATACTTGTAATAGAGGTTATCTATAAAGAGTTACAGATTTGAACTTTAATACCCTTCCCTGTGGAATAATAGAGACCTAGCACTCTTAAAAAATTAATTATGTGCAAGATTTAGGATGGGCTGTGACAGGCAGTTGTAAATCTTTATTTTTGCTTTTTAAAAGCAGAACCCAATTTCCAAGCATTGAGAGAAGATGAGGCTAAATGATAGAAGTGAGTTATATTATGGAAGAACTGGTAGGTGACCAATGTGTGGGCGGATATCAGAGCAGAAGACTAACAGGGACTCTGCCACTCACTAGTTGTCTAGCTTTGGGAAAATTACTTATCCTCTCTGTGCTTTAGTTTCTGTATCTGTAAAATGAGGGTAATAATAGTCCTTCATGGGATTCTTGGGAGGACTGAGTAAATTGATACCTGTAGTATGCTGAGAATCATGCATGTTGCATAGTGGGGGCTCAGTAAACTGTCAGCCACTGTCGCTATTGCCATCAATGTTGGTGTTATTTGAGGCCTTACTTGATGACTTTCAAAACTACACAGACACGGGTCACCTGGGTGGCACAGTCAGTTAAGCATCCAACTTTTGGTTTCTGCTCAGGTCGTGATCTCGGTGTTGTGAGATGGAGCCCCGCATGGGGCTCTGTGCTTAGCAGGGAGTCTGCTTGAGATTCTCTCTCTCCCTCTCCCCATGCCCCTACACTCTTCCACCCTCTCGAAAATAAACAAATAAATAAAATCTTAAAAAAAAAACTGCACGGACATTATATGTAGGGAAGCAGGTAAGGCTGTTGTAAGGAAATGTGCCTAGAAAATGAATACTACTAGATACTTTTTTACAAGGTACACTGAAGACAACACCACCACCGTTGGGCGGAATGACAGCAGCTGAAGATCAGGCACGCGTTGGTGGGAGACCTCCCTTGCAGGATTTCTCCATTCAGGCAGTATTTGAACTGAGCATATTATGGCAGATGCAGAATGCTCTAGCGTTTTTTCACTATGGGAGCCTCTCACGTGAAA